CCAAAACCCCAAAGGCAACTTTTAAAGGGATTTAAATCAAGCTCAAGTGAACACAAGAGTTCTTCGAACAAGTTTGTGATAGGCTTTATAAAGGGATTTATAACATCACAAAGTGTCCAAGCTGCATAAATATGTTCTGCTCATTAATAGATCAATCCTACATTCTCATTTCAAACAAAAAAATAAGTCCTACATTGAAACACCACTGTTTCTGCAATATATTTAAGGACTAATTTACTTATCCAATGAATATTAACATATTATAATTAAACCCTTGAATGATGTTTATGTTATAAGGCTGGATTATTTGTGTACAAAGGTTTGTCCAAATGTTTCAGTATTGGAGGGTCTTGTGCATATTTTGGTTTGCATTGCTTTTGCAACATTTATTCCTTAAAAGTTGCCACCAGTTTATGTTCACTTGTTATTGTATTTCATAGAAAATATATTTATGCACTGCCTTTTCACCTTGTTGCTAAGGAAAGTGTTTTGCTTGAAAAAATACGTTGTTTTATGTAATGTATTGGTTGTGCTTCAATATGGTCTCTCTAATGTATGTATTGTCATCTTTTTCTCCATTATTATATCTAGATTCTTATTGTAAATTTGTTGTGGATAAGTATTACTCAAAATAGCTGTATGCAGCACAGCTGCACATTGTTGGTTACTTGGTAGTTGGTATGGGATAAGATTCTCAGTATTCTTTTAATTTGATAGGATCACATTCTATAACAGTTGATGGTGTAGGGGTAAAAGTCACCCATATAATTTATACCTACTTTAATGTGGCCTACTTGTACAGAAGTATGACACTAAAAAGAACATAAATGAGTTAAAACCATACATTATAATTACCATGGTTTATAAGATTTATTAGATAATATAAATTTAATTGAAAAGGATTCATCAGCATGGTTATGAATTTATGACCCACATCAAACTAGCATGTAGGAAATTTGGCAAATTTCATGATTTCTTGATTAATTATATGTCATTTTGTATTAAGTGGTCCATATTATTATCATAATTATATATGATCTTACATTATTACTGTTCATTTAATTATATTGATCCAATAAAGTCCCCTCAAAAAAATATTGGACCAATAAATAAAGTAGTATTCAATTGAAGAATGATCTATATACATACATTCAAAATATTTGTTGATTGCAAATAAACTAATTGTCAATGACATCCTTTGTGGTCATATACATCATTCGGATCTATGCACACAACACTCATACACTTTATAATGCATAGGGCTCATTAAGGGATGAGTAGGACCAAGATTATACATAATGGTAGGCTACATCATTCTCTTATCTCTTCAAACTAAAACCCTGGAGCACAAAGCACTCATGCTAGCATTTAAACGACATGTACGTGTGACATGGTGTGTGTTGTTTTGTGCTCTTGATATATGAAATATTTTTTTCTGGTAATAGACGTGGTATACTTTGAGAAAAGTGAAATATGCAATCTTTTAATTTTTATTAGTTTGTTAAATCACCTACTAGTATATGAATTTGACAGAGTATGACATAATAATGTGATATCAACTATCGGAGTAATACCAATTTTTTCTTTTTGAAAAGGTAAATTTGCATTGTAGAAAAGTCATACAACATCACAATCAACATTTTCCTAAACAAAATCAGATCTAAAAACTATAACATACTTCTACGCTAAAATATTTAAATATATACAGTAGATGATATTATATTTATAAATCACTAGGAATGATGAATGAACTTTAATGTAATGCATTTTTCTAGTGTATATATATGGAGATTGTTGTCTTGAAATTGTCATATTTGAGATTGGTCATGGACAACATGCATGCATCCAACATAAAAATTAGACAATTTTTACATAACATTTATACATCGATTCAAACTTTTTGTTAACTTGACTCAAAAACACTATAAAAAGAGTAAGAGACTAAAAAAACTCAAACTAGCTTACTACAACACTCTTGATGTAGCATATTAAAGCTAAGCTAACAACAAAAACTAGAATAAATAATGAATAGCTCAGCAATAGTCAACAAATTTCCAAAGAAATTAAACTATCTTCAACCTAAAATAATCCTAACAATTGAGAGCCCGAGAGTACAATATAAAAAGAATGAGGAGAAGAGACGATAAAACAACATTGACATCAACTAACATAAGTATGGTTAAATGACTAACAAAGTGAGACATAGGAAGGTCTTAAAGAGATTAATAAAGGTTAGAATAATAAAGATTAAAGTTGGTGCCTAATGAATTGCACTTAAAAATAACTAAAATCCAGAATATTCAGTTGTGTACAAGTATAAGGAGATTTGTTTCCTTAATTGGTGATGTTTATCCTAAAAGAGATTCGCAATAAATAGATTTTTTTTTTTAATCCATTGTTATGTTCGTAAATTGATTTAAAGAGTAATTAATTATCAGCCAAAAATAGAGTAATGTAAAAAGATTATGAGAGTGAGTAATAGCTCAAGTGGTTAGAGCTTTTCTTCCGGTTTTAGAAGATCATGTGATCGATTCTCACCCCGTCCTTGTGACTCTCTACTCTAACAAAATGAGACATAGGAAGGTTTTAAAGAGATTAATAAAGGTTAGAATAATAAAGATTAAAGTTGGTGCCTAATGAATTGCACTTAAAAATAACTAAAATCCAGAATATCCAGTTGTGTACAAGTATTAGGAGATTTGTTTCCTTAATTGGTAATGTTTATCCTAAAAGAGATTCGCAATAGATATAGTTTTTTTATTTATTTATTTTTTTTCAAATCCATTGTTATGTTCATAAATTGATTTAAAGAGTAATTAATTATTAGCCAAAAAAAGAGTAATGTAAAGAGATCATGAGAGTGAGTAATAGCTCAAGTGGTTAGAGTTTCCCTTCCGGTTTTAGAAGATCATGTGATCGATTCTCACCCCGCCTTTGTGACTCTCTAAACATAATTTAGTACCCTTGTTCATAATTTATTAACAAAAAAAAAAAGAGTTCTTACCAATTCTTATTTGCAAATGGTCATTCCACCCTTGTTCATAATTTAGTAACATAATGACAAATTTAATCTACAACCAATTGTACGCTTGTACCGGTTAATTTAATAATCTGCAATCAGTTTTCCGAATGAACAAATAAAAATTTTGTGAGATTATGTTGTGGACGATGTACATACACTTTTGAGTAATAATGAACGAAGGGAGTATTATGTTGGTTTATATACAAGTATATTTGGTGTAGTTGGTTGGTAATTTACCTTAAGCTCATATACAATCCTATTAATGGCAGTTCTTGAAGGTGAGAATTCTCTTATTCTTCACACTGGACTGAACTATTTCTAAGAATTTGACTACCATAGTTGAGCAGGTCTAATATGATTTTTTTTAATATAATAAAAAAATATATAATCAGACCATATTTTCTCACTTATCTTGTGGTAACCATATAATCTCACTTATTATGACAATATAATTTTACCCAATTAAAACTTCCATCTGTTGCGCCCCTCTTCTTTGAAGAAACTCCACGAAAATTTATGGTGAGAACCTTTCAGAAGAATCACCGTGGAGGCTAGGTTTTGGGATTTGGTGGAGGTTGAAGGGAGAGGAAAGGGTTTGGGATTAATTTCTTCAAGAATGTCGAGCATACGGAAGAAATGGCGTGCCCATTTAAGGAAAGGAGGGAATCAATTAATTCAAGGGTAGGTTATTCTTTTTATGTAATGTGGTAAAAAAAAGTGAGCCATTTTGTTGTTGGTTAGCCCATTTAATGATTATTAGGCCACTGAAATCAATTATGTGAAACCACAGTGTCACTAAAGAGAGTTGAAAAAAAGTTCCTCTTCCATGTAGAATTCTTAAAACCACGAGGCCACCAAATAGAATATCCCTTTTATTAATATCCACTTTTTATAATTTTACAATGTCGGGAATTAGAAATATGAATCGTTAAAATAGTATATTGGCAAGCATGAAAATAGAATGGTGTCAACTAAATAAAAATGGAGGTAATATGATACAGTAGAAAATAAGTGCACCTTATCGTGTCAGTGTCACTAGGTTAAGACTTTCTTGATGAGTCATAACGACATAAATCCATACAAATACAAATGGAAAGAGGATTTGAAGTTTTGAATTTATGATTTATGTACCACTAGGTTAAGACTTTCTTGATACTGTAGTATTTCTTGTAAAGGGGCAATTTGATTAAATAATATTCCTAGCATAATCTAATTTTTCATTAAGGTTACATATAATATTAATGATGGAAGTAAATTTTTACTAGAACTCTATAATTTTAAAGGGGTGATTTTTCGATGTAAATCACTTTAATATGTGAACTACAAAACCCATACGATGCTATGAGTATAAGGTAGGCAATTTTAATCATACAATTAGTTGTACATTGCAATGTATAATAGGTTATATTATTTTCTCATTCGCACAAATTTGACTAGCAAGTCAAGTCAAGTCAAATCATAGCTGGATGTGGATTAGATGCAAAGAACGGGACAGTGAGTATTCAATGAGGAAGGTTTGGAGCAGAACTTGTTCGAGGTCAAAGATTTGGACACAATGCTGTATTGCTGCCTTTACCGCTATGATATACCGTGTTTGGAAGGCTGGGAATCATTTGTTGTAGCCTGTATGGATTCCTAGGACTATTGTTAGTAAAGCAGTGTGATTAAAATGTGCTTAGTGTGTGAAAATCACATTTTAATCACACTGCTTGACTTATAAGTACCAAGCAAAGGTGTAAGTAGGGTCACCTTAGTAATGTGCTTGACTTATAAGTGATAGGGTCACCTCTAGTGATAAACTGATAGTGTTAGCTGCTTGACTTATAAGTACATAAATGAGCAAGTAGCTTTCCTCGAAGGTTTGCTCACCTTCAAACTACTGTTTCCGAATGGAATGTTAAGCTGCCTATGCCCTATTGCTAGGAGCTTCAAATTTAAGAAAAGATGGCTTCAAGGTTGCAGGGTAAAACAAAAAAAAAAAAAAAATCTTTAGAACTATCATTGCCCTTGAAAATTGGATTTCACTTATAAGCAAAAAAAATCAGTACATACAAAAAATATGAGTGATGAAGATCTACAGTTCTAATGCTGTAATATGAACAGTTGTCAACTCTTAGACTGAATGGTTAAGGATGACTCCTGCAGATAAGCGTAGCACAGCATTCTTGCATCCTAACGGAAACCCAGCAGCATCAGATGCCTCAAAAGCATCGCTACTTACCATAATGAAGAAACTGGGAGATCATGTGATGCTACAAGAGTTGTTTGGCTGAGCCTTGGATGAGAGATGTGAGAGATGGATGCATCCTGGCTTTTCTCATGGAGCGTGCCTCACTTTTTCCATCAGCATATTCCTCCCCCAGCGGCCATCTAGGTCGGAGATCATACTGCAATACCAAGCAAAGGTGTAAGCAGGGTCAAAATCCTTTTCGTTATATCCAGCTAACTGCTAGTTCAGAAAGTGACTTTGCAGTAAGCAGTAAAACAAGGCATATAAATAGGCTGTGTTTAGTTCCCAGGAAACCATTATTTAAAGTGAATTCTATATTCAATGAAAATCAGGTTTCAAACTTCTTTTCCTTCCTTAGTTCATTGCTAAAAGAGTTAGAAAAAAAAGGAGAAAGAGGAGGGAGTGGATGCCTGGATGGAGGAGAGGAGCGAAGGAAGGTGAGGGATAAGGAAGAAGATGTGGCATTCCTTTCTTAGACGAACAATTTCCACCTTGCAGAAAACTTTTAAAAGCATAAGAACATTACAACTTTACAAACCAGATTTTATGGAAAATGATTTCCCTTTCAATTAAAAACAATCGTAGAGACAACAGTAAGAAGCTTTTATTATGATACATACAGGATCACAGACATACCACTGTATCTTCAGGTTCATCGGCAGGTGGTGGTGTATCAAATCTTCCCATCTGAAAGTGCTCAATGCCAGTCCAAGCAACCATGACACCTTTTGAAGTAATTGGGTTAATCTTACAGACTCAAGGAGGGAAAACCAGTCTTAAATTATTCAACCTGTCTGGATCTTATAGTTTCGTTCATCTTTACATGGTTAAGGAATAAATTAGAGGTGAATTATAATGTGAGACAGCTAGAGTATCTTACCATTGTCAGTACAAAGGCTGGGTGGGGGGCAAACAAGCTGCAGGCCTTTATTCTTGGCAATCTGATCAAGTCTTGCTCTCACATATTGATTTGACGCTACGCCACCTGAGACAACCTGCATAATATCTCTGATGAGAATCAAAAATATAGATTTCAGTAGCAAGTTATAGAATAACTATTGACTAATTACAAAGCATTTAATTGATGGCTCCATTTTCAATGCCCATTCGATAGCTCTTTCACATCTTTCCTCCAAATGCAACACTGCAACTCGCTGCATAAAGCATTTCCCCAAGAGCATCAGCAAATGAAAAAATACTACACAAAGATCCCCTTTACGTAGGGAGAGAGATACACCAAGATAGAAAAACAGAAATAGATGTTTGCTACATGGTAGTAACCTGAAAAGAAGCAGCAATGTCAGCCCTAGAGCTTCTTTCATGGCTACTTGCTAAGGAAAGGGGAATTTCAGCATCACTGCACACAGCCCAAGACTCATCAGCAACGGGAGATCAAGTTTATTATCAGTCAAGTAGCTATTGAACATTAATATTACGAGCAACACCAAGAAAATGATCTAGCCAAAACTGAAGCAAACTTAAACAAGAATTAAAGGAGAATTAGCAACAGCAACTTTAATGAGCAACAGCAACTGTGATATGGCAGTAAATTTCCAATTTTCCATTGGCCCCACATACACCTCTACCGGCCCTTTAGCAACAAGGTGCAGGAACCTCACGCAGTCACACTTGAAATCCATTAAAGGTGAAGACATGCTCTAAAGCACAAGAGATACATACAATAGATAACAACACCCAATTTGGTTCTCAATAGGGAGAGTCTTGGAAGGTCAAGATGTGAACGACCTTGTCCCTAGCAGGTGCAGACACTTACATGTTTTTTGATGCAATTGCCAGCTTCACTTGAGTTTTCAGACCAGCATAGGAAAAGTTGCAATCCTTGTGATGTAGCATTGGAGTCTGATAATATAAATAAATAAATAAGTTAAACAAGAATCGGTGATGAATACAGCCCAACAATATGGTTTATGGATAACCTAAAGTATACATTGTACAGAAGTGACTAGGAAAATGTTTAAGAAAATCAAAGAAGCGAACTTTGAATCTTATAGAGTCAGGATCACCCTCTCGGGCAAGATCCTCTATAGCAGGACCACTACTCCTCCTCATATCAAGGCCAAGCCACTTTGCTGTCTTGTCGTATGCTTCACCAATTGCATCATCAATGGTCGTTCCAAGTTGTATGTAATGGCCCAGACCATGTGCAAGAATCAGAAGATTGTGTCCTCCTAAAAAGAAAATTAAAACTCTTTGAGATGTTTTGAAAGATCTATATCATGAAAAAATTGCTCGAAGTCATAAAAATTTGAATCTGAACAATTTTGTAAACATGACAAGAAGCTTATATAGCATGTGTAAGGGGAAAAAATAATCATTCTGCACATGAATTAACTAGAGTAACGAATTACCTGCTATGGCCTGTGACACCACCCAATATCTATTTATGTCATCTAGTCCTCACTTAGTCAAAAAAAGAGGGGAAAAAAAACAAAGGAAAGCAAAGCAAAACAAATAACATTGACATGTAAAACACAAATCAAATTGCAGGAGTAAACACCACAATCAAGTACCAAACTTTGCCCAAAAGTTGCAGGCAAGGTACTGAAGTTTACAATGTTGCACTTAGAGTACTGGAGTAGGCCATCCCCCCTTTTACCTTCAACAACAGGTTACTTACAATTAAAAACAAGGAAAAATAAAAATCTGACCAAAATAATTAATGCCCGACTTTGAAGTCATTTTTTATTGAATTCTCAATAACCCAAATCCCAAATACTTGTTTTAATCAATACCCAGTTGCTAAAATATGGAAATTCAATTACCCAGATTTTTATAATTCCAGAAAATTTTCCAAAAAAATTAAAATTGGGAAAATGTGAAATTTGGGAGAAAATTTTTGATCAAGAGATAAGAAGACAAGTCTCTTTTTTTTATATATTTTTTTTTATTGCAGAGTTTGTTTATGAAAATCAGAGCTTAAACTCCATTGTTAAGCTTCATTGTTTGCCATAACTCTTGCCACTTTGGTACAGTAATTTGTTTCAAGTCATCTAGTACTCACCTGACCTCCATTATCCCATAACTAACAATACTAAAAAAACCATCAAATTTGCCTTTCAACCTGTTCATTAATGGCGGACAATAACAATTAGAAGACAAGGATAAGTGGGTGCTAGCGAGATGTTATGGGTCCAGCCCAAGTGGTAGTAAAATGAGTGTTACTTTGGGTCCAATAATTTGGTCCATTTCAAGTCATTTTACTAAGTTTTGTAAGTCCTCTTTGAGGCTTATTTATGTGGTTTCTCTTGGAAGCTTTTGAGGTAATATCTTGTGGTTAACAAGCCACCAAGTAAGCCAAGTTTCAGCTGAGAAAACACACGCACAAAGAAGAGAGAAAGAGTAAGGGTTTTGAGGAGTATCCATTCTCGGATTTTTCGATGTTTGCGGGTTTGCGAATTCTTCTTGGACACGTGTTCTATTCTCATGCTTTAGGTCTTTATTATCCCTAGACTATATATATGTCGTCTTGTGTCTTTTATTGATTCATTCACAAAATATTAAACACAAGTGAGGGTTTAAAAGAGGTTTTGTGAGAGCATTTGAATATCATACTATTCATGCTTGTATTCATCCATTCATTCATCATCTAATATTACTCCATAGTGCAAGGTGGGTTTTTTCTCCTGATTCTCGGGTTTTCCCATGGTAACATCGTCTCCTTTATCTTTGCTTTGAATCTTTCATACTTGTTCTTGGTTGCTTGCTAGTTGTTCATTGTATTGTTGTGGGTTGATTGCATTGTTGTTAGCACTCTAAATCCTATCATTACTCTGGAAAACTGGAAAGATCATTCAATTTCTGGAACATGGAATTACGGAAAACAGCATTGAAACTCAAGCTCATAATATTACTTGGAGTTATAGACTCATAATGACAAAAAATAGCACAATTAAAGAGAAAGGTAAAAATGATATTAAGTGATCATTATTACCTGAAATGAGCAGAGCCATGAAGGGAAACTGAAGGTCTCTATCTGTCAACCTGAACACCAGAAAAATTAAGAAATGCAACCAACAAATAGTAGCTTTTAATAACCGCAGAAGAAACAAGGTTCTAAACAATTAAAACTCTTTAAAATCCAAATACTAAGGAATAAATATTGATAGGCGGATTGATATCAGATTAGGCAATATATTTTGGTGCAGGGTTGTCAGTCATACCTTGCTACTAAAGTATGGGCCTCCATATGATGCACGCCAATTATAGGCAGCTGGAAGCTACGAGCAATTTCTCGACCTTTACAGACACCAACTACAGTATTGAGAAAGAGAAGTCAGATACTTTTACAAATATGATTCCTTAAAGCTCTGAACCATGCAGCTTGCAAGAATCATGGCCAATAAGTAGAGCACTCTTGTCTTCTCTTTCCATCATTGCTCTCTTTTCCCCAAAATGAAAAACAGACAGAGAAAGGGGAGTTAAAATAATTACAAGGTATGACTGACATTCTGCCAGTCGACATTCAGCCAGTCATTAAGATGATAAAATTAACATAGAAGCGGGGAGTCACCACATCTGTACTCATACTCCCATGTCTTGCCTTTGGAACCTTATTGGATAAATATTTGAAACGTTAATGGACATTGGAACTTATTAATGATCATTTCAGTATATATAAAAAGCCAGAAAACCTAAGCACATAGACACAACCCATACCAGACAGTTAATGAACTCTGAAAATTTCAGTCTTAGTAAGATAATTACAAAAGTTATCATAAATAAGATTGAAAAACCACATCCAAAAACTTAGAAGACAAAACACATACTGGAGTATAGAAACCAAACTGCTTAGGCTTGTCATCATAGACAGAAACCCTCTCCCTCTTTGACAAGTCGGCAAATGAAAATCACTACTACAGGCGCAGATTGAATTAATTCAGGCACCTCGGTAGAGCAAAACGTTAACCTACTCTATACTACATCACAAAATTCATGTTAAGACTCTCTAGCAGCTGAGAAGACAAGGACACACTCTCAAACACGTCATACCCCACACAAAAAATTTACTCAATCCCAACGAGACTGCAACCTGCATTGTGGTACGAAGTTTTTATTTTCCTGGACTATTCCAAACTTTTTACATCAGCGTAAAGAAGGAAATAAACCCAAAAAATGTGAAAAAAGACCTAAACAGAATCTTCATCTCCTCACTGTTAGTACCAAAAAAATCACTTGAGCAAAGCCATGGTCCAGGACCAGACAGTATGTAAAAACCTGATAATCAACACATCAACCAGATTGCTCATTTCTCAAGTATGTAAAAACTATAAGATATTTTTCAATTTGCACCAAAATAAAACAACACACAGATAGTTAACCGAATACATTACCACGTAGGCAAAGACTTAATCCAGGACCAATAGTAACTGCGACTGCGGAAAGATCTTTAGCGGTTAAATTTGCTTTATCAAGTGCTGCTTGTGTAACCTGCGGATGAGGAAGGTAAAAAATAAATAAGAACATTGAGATGATTGCATGCAACAGTTTTAGTTAAGCCATGTTCATAACTAATACTCACACCTGAGAACCTAGATGAATGACTCATACAATTACAATACATGGAATTTCTCCATGAACAGGGTGTGGGAGTTGAAAAATACGTAGCCTTACTATATAGTGCCTCCTCACTAAGGCAACTAACTATGACAACCCATCAATAACAGATAGGTGGGGGTTTTGCTTATAGGATGCAATTGCCAGAACAGTTGTAAAATGCAGATTTTCTTTTCTCAACAAAACGATGTTGCCTAGCACAAAGCTCAATACTGTAGAAGTTTGGGAGGATCAAGAGTCAAGACTTCAGCAATCAAACACCACCCATTTCCATAATATTCTGACTGTCTTGACTTTAGGAGCACAAAAAATGGATATCAGATACAGTTACATGAGAAGTAACCTCAATAAATGAGAATCGTTAAGAGTCTTATCAATACACTAAAGTTATATATCTACTAAGACACAATGTTTGGAGTTAAAGACTCTTTTTGATACCTAACATAGACTTGAGGTTATATAAATAGCTTTTTGACAACTCAAAATCTCATACCTTCATTAATTACTCCAATCTTCATAGTCCATATATCAATACAGGATCAAGCCCACCACCAATAACTAGTATAGGAATTTAGGCAACTAAGGCTGTTGCAAGAACAAGAAGGTATACACAAAACAAAATGACTCACAAGAAAGCATATCAGAAGGTTGACTGAAAAAAGAAGCAAAGAGAAGTTTCCAAATTTTCTGTAGCAATTCTGCAGGTCATTTTCATTTTACGTTTAGAAATGCAAACAGCAACTTATTTATCAACGGAAGCTAGTCAGACTGATGTAATGTACCCAATCAATGGCCCTCGAATGGGCCTCTTCAGCCATTTTTGGGGCAACTCCTCCATATTGGACAAGCAGATCTGCCTTGATCAGCACAAAAAATAAAAATAAAGAATTAGACAAGTAGATAAACACACTCATGTTCCTTATATAAAACGAAGTTTGTTGTAATAAATATATTAGTAAAAAGAAGGTTATCAATTTAGCAACTTCCATTTAAGGACCTATGATTATGCAATATCCCCCTATAAAGCAAGACACCACAATGCATTAACAAATTAATAGGGTCAAAATCAAAAAAGGACAACCCAAAGGTAGCGCTAGACTGCGAGTGATATCAGCAACCAACGAAAAAAGAAAAACCTATGTCATAAGTACATTCAATACAATTCCATTATAAGCGTTTATCAGCTGTTAGAAAGCTACTTAGCCTATACTCCTTCCCTATCATCCGTCATTCACATAACTCTGGTGTTCACTGAAGCAATCTTTGTACTCCGTATAAAAAAGTGACATAGCAGGCAATTAAGCACTCCCTAGTCTCAACGGCCAACATTCTAAAATACAGACTGCCAATTCAATGTGCCGGTGCCAAACAACTCTTCAACCAAGTAATCAAATTGATAGTTCATGAACTCATCAGACCCTTTCAAGAGTCATACACAATTAAGCTGAAGAATGAATAAAATTACAGACAATTGCTCATATACAAATGTATTAGAAATCTAATCTTATCTTAGTTTTGACTATTGACTATGTCAATTGCATAATTGAAATTTGCATGTGTACCACTCAACAAGAAAATGTATAAAAACAAACACAAACAATTCGACCATAAAAACTATTAGTGAAAAACGAAGTATCATTTATACCTGAGTTGACACGACTTGACTAAGAATTTCTCCATTGCCTCTCACCTGAAACTCAAACAATCAAAATTATCATTATATATAATTTATATAATCACGCGTCAATTGGTGTAATTGTTTTAACTCGTAGCTATTATATTTATTTATAAAGCTCTACATATATCATTTGGCACAACAACATAAAACCCAAAGTAAATAAAACAAATACAGAGTAGAATAGTAAGACAAAGACTTACAACAGCAGCAGCGGTGTCATCACAACTTGTTTCAATCCCAAGAACAATCAAATTATCCACATTTGCTGAATGGGTTTTGTGAGAATTGAATTGGGTCGTGGAGAAATTAGCAAAATTAAGATGAAAATGAAGTTTTCTATGTTGATGAAGTTGTCGTAATTTGGAGAGTGTAAACTGTTTAAAGCTATGTTGTAGTGCTGTGTTTGTTAGGGTTCCCGTCACACCCGCCATTTTATACTTGCTACAGAGAAACAGAAAGAGAGGAATATATGCAGTGGCGGATCCAGGATTTGATTAATAGGTTGTCCCATCATCGTCCATCGACCGCATAAAATATCAAAAAATAATCAAAGCTTGTATAATGAAGAAAAAAAAATACATAAAAAAGTTCATTTCATAAAGTAATGCAAATACATATTACAAACGAATTTTCATGTTTTGATAACGACTTACAATATCATCCATGCTAACATTATAAAACAAATCTCTTTCTAGATAATAAGTAATCAAACAATCATTCAACATTTGACTCCCATGCTATTACGCAATTTATCTTTCACTTGCATCATTCTGGAAAATACTCTTTCTACACTTGCCGTTGCAACGGGAAACATCAACACTAACTTCAAAAGTAAGTAGACTCGATCATGAGTTTCAAACTTTCCCGTCTCAACAAGTTTCGTAGAAAATTGCTATCAAGTACTAGCAGATTTCAGAAATAGGATACTAAATTTAGGCTAAATCCAGTTGGCAAATTTGAGTTCATATATGCATACAAACCTCGTAAGAAATTCAGTGCAATATGGTCATACATCTCACAAATACATTTTCAGAAGATTAATTAATTTAATACGGAGTAGGACTTGTCAAGTTTTTCCTCTTATTTTCCCTTTACGACAAAAACTTCTTTGAGGAATTAATAATTCAGATTGTCACAAATACAGTTCCCATAAGATGACTCAGGAAGCATAAAATTTAACCAAGTCATTTAACTGTTATTCCAGTAGCCAAAAGTTTAACTTGCACACAGACTCAATCAATAAAAAGGGGAGAAAACAGTAGAAAGGAGTCGTTACTTGGACCTAACCATTTCAATGTAAATTAGTCGGAATCATAGCAATAGGCCAAGACGCAAAATAGGGAGGAGGAAAGCAAAGAGAAACATAGTCCTTTTCCCAGCAGCGATTGTTTTTTTCATCAAAACTAAACAAAAGCCCCCATCAGTGGCGTCTCCCGGATTTCCAAAGAGGGGGTTCGAAACTTCAGAAGTTCAGAATCATAATTAACAAAGGAACAAAAATATAATAATTAAATATACAGTACATAAGTTCAAATTATGGATTGCAAATAGATTACACAATACAAATAGAAAAAAAAATAAAAATTACAGAAGCATTCTTCGAGATTCCTAAAAGGCAGAGAATAATTTGAAAAGAATTTTTGACTCTTTTTTCTTTTCCTAATATTTTTTTTTTAATATTATTATTAATATGTATATTTTGGCTGAACTGTTTGTTTTTTTTTTTAAATAAATGATGAATTATTGCTTAATGGCTTAATTATTAGTGATTTTAGTTTGGTCTTCTCAATCTTGTTTTATTTGTATTTATGACATATCATCCTGATTGTTTAGAAAATAATTAGGTTCTTCTGTATAATTGGGATTGGCTTATATTATGCCTTAAGTTAACTTTGAACCTAACATTTTTTAATGAACATTGACAATATGTCCATATCTAAATAATAATGCAAGCTGATCAGCATCCTTTTGTAATAATATCTGTCCATTTCACTCTAGCATTTTTGAACTAGCAGTATGTAAACTCATATAAACAAGCAATAAGCAACAATCAACAATTAAGTAAGCAACAATCAACAAACAAGAAACAACTTAACAACAAACAACTAAACAAGTGCGAAACTGGGAAGCAGCAAGCTCACCAGACTACCGTGGACTCGTGGAGGCAAGAGGCGTCGACGCGTCTTCCGTGTGGTCGTCGTCGGACGTCGGTGGAGCAAGGAACCTGGTCGTCTGCCGTACGATTTAGCGAAAAAAATCCCCAAATTGAGAACTTAAGTAAATTAGCGAATTATAACCAATCTTCAGCGATTTACAAAAAATCCCCAATTCGTAATGTATATTAGCATATGAAATTCAACGATTTAGCAAAAAAAATCCCCAAAGTTAGGGTTTTGCAATTTGGGGGAATGAGGAAGAGGAAAGCTGAGAAGGTAATTGCGTTCTCCTCCGTACCTTCTCGGGCTGTTTGGTAAGTGGGATTATGGGTTGGGAATGGGAATAATAATCCCTAATCTTTATAAACCCATGTTTGGATGGTGGGAATTATGATATAAAATGGGAATAGGCTTGGGAATAATTAGCTTGTATTCCCTACATTTTATTACTTGGAGGGCAGGTAATATTGTGGGGGAATTCACTGAATTGTTAAAAAGGTAATATTACCCCCTCTTTTGTGACATATATTACACTTTTTTAATATGTAAAGGGTAATCTTGTAAATTATGCTTTTAATCCTTCTATTATTCCCACATACCAAACATAGGATTTAAAATTTCTCAATCTTATTTCCAAAATATGCCAAACAAGGGATTGGGATTATCTCATGAATTCCCACCTATTAATTCCCATTCCCACTCCCACCTTATATTCCCCAAATTCTCATTCTCATTTGCCAAACGCTCCGTCTAAGTCTTGAGGAAAACAGGAAACAAAAAGAAAAAAAAAAGTGTGAGTTATGGGTTTTGAACCCACAAACTCTTGTGTGATGGGATGTGAAAAAAACCATTAGGCTACAGCTTTACACAAATATTTCATTTAACCTATTTCGCTTTTTTTTTTTTTAAAAAAAAAAAAAAAAAGTTTTTATTTTTTTTTCAAAAAATCAGTGGGTTCAATGAACCCACTTTGGATCCGCCCCTAGCCCCCATTGAAGAGGGTAAAACCAAAGTAATTGAACCAGTTTATGGAAATGGCCAGCATGAGTGGCAGACCCCACATGTCAATTGAGTCGCACCTGTGGTCTGAGCTACAGCTTTCGCATGGAGACGAACAAGGAACAACGAAGAAAAGAAAACCAGTCTCATCAGAGAAAGCTGCCAAAAGACAGCAACCACCAACCTCATGGCTATTGAGTAGCACAAACAGATTGTCAAAATCTAACCTTAAAGACTGCTTCAATGGAGGAGAGAAAGCTCAGAAAGTCAGAAGCCGCTTCAATGGAGAATTTCGAGTACGCTCCACAAACCAAACCCTGCAACACATTAGCAACCAAAATTGACTCAATTATCAAACTAGACTCCAAAAATTATGTTAAATTCTTCGAGTATCTATAACCAATAATTCAATTATCCAACTTCGAAGAACCCTAAATTGAGTATATAGTGGAAATTAATTTAATTAGGTTAATGATTAAAGAAAAAGAAGCATCTAACCTTTGAGACTGCTTCAGTGGAGGAGAGAAAGCTCAAAAGCCCTTTCAATGGAGAATTATGAGTACGCTTCAATGGAGGAGAGAGAGAGGAAGCCGTGTAAATGGAAGTTGTGTGGTTTGTGTGTTCTGGCTTTCTAGGAAGAGAGAGAGGAAGGAGTCAAGGTGTGAAATTGATCTAAAATTTTTTTTTATTTAAAAAAAACAAAAAAAAAAAAAAAAAAGTGTGTCATCGGACCCACAATGACTACATGTGGGTCCGCCACTAAATATATGGAGAGGTCCTCAGTTCAATCACTAATTGGCTACTCAGTCTATCAAGAAATCATGAATTAATACGTAAATTGGATGAATTTATTTGGAAAAATTGGTTGTTATAATCTCAAATTTGACTAATTTTTCTTTAAATAATTTCAAGTTTTTATTATTTTGAAATTATCTCAACCTATTTAGGGTATTTTCTAATAATACGAGTAATTCGAATTTTATTTCTGTTTCCAATAACAGTGAGATCAACAAAAATAACACTTCGGATTATTTTAGAAAGATACTTATATAAGTTGATATTATTCAAGGATAATCAATAGTTCGGATTATTTAGAGTAAATCGGTCAAAGCTGTAATTATTAAAATTAATTTTTCCAATTTAGTTTGGAAAATTCTCTTCCGTAACACTAAGTTTTTTCATTATTATTGGTATTATTGATTATCATTGATAAGTGTTATTTTATTGCCTCCGTTACTTTTTTTTTTTTTTTTTTTTTTTTTTTGAAAGAAAGCTAATCAGTAAATTAAATAGCAAAAATATCCATCCTTACATAGTGGGAAACAGTAGGGGGAACACAATTAAACCAAATTTGCTCAGGATCAAAGGGGATAATTTTTGCAAGATTATGAGCCACCGTATTTCCATACCTCTTCACATGGCTCCATTGTAGACTACTATACCGTGTACTTTGAGCCATAGCATCACTTAACACCATATCCAGATCTGTGTTGTGCCTTTCCTCCCTCATGAGTTTTGTGATAATGGCTTGGCAATCAGTTTCAACAATAGCATTGTTGTGTCCGAACTTTGATCCCAAGTTTAGAGCCCAGGTTATCGCCTTTGCTTCCGCTACTTCGACCGACCACCATGCCCTTATTCTTTTGGAGGCTACGAATATAACTGACCCTTCTTTATCCCTCGCCACTACACCCATACCAACCCAGCCCTCGTTGGTAACCGAAGCATCTGTGTTGATTTTAATGAAACCAGAGGGGGGGGGGGGAGCCCATCTGTTAGGACTTGTGCAAGGGATTGACGCAACAGCCCTGCCCAAAGCTTCTTCCATTTTCTTGCTTTCTTCTGCCCATCTCAGCACACGAGTCATAAGCAAATCAGTGGAGCCATCTTTCCCTTGGAAGATCTTCTTATTTCTGTCTTCCCAAATACCCCACATCAGGTATATGCCACGAACCTTAACTTCCTTTGCCAATTCTCCCCAGCTTTCAATAAGTTCACAGGGGGATAGAGATGCAGCATCCTTCTTCATCTCTTCACAGCCTAATCTGTTCCAAAGGTTGTGAATTCGATCACAATCAAAGAACGCATCATTCTCACACCAAGGACACCAATCATTTTCAGTAAGGTGTTGATGTTTGAGGAGCCTACGAACAGGTATAGTGTTCGTGCATAAACGCCACAGAAAATTTCGAGCTTTTGGGATAACCTGTACCTTCCAAATATCAACCCAAGCTTGGTGGAACTCATCTAGATTACATCCCTTCCCCAACATATAGGAGGTCTTGACAGAGTACTCACCGTTTTTTGAGAAAGCCCAAGTCAACTGATTAGGAGGACTTCTGGTGCTCAAGGGAATTGCAAGTATGCCCTTCGTATCTCTTTCATTGAAATTTTCTTGTATTTTGTCATAGTCCCAGACCATAGTCTCAAAGTTAATGAGATCACTCACCTTTGTGATTTCCTCAGTGGGAGTGCTCGTTGCAAACTGGCTCACCTCATCACATATCCAGGGATCTTCCCATATATTTATGTTGTCTCCATTGCCCACTCTCCACAGCATTCCTTCTTTTACTAATGACTTCGAACCCCATACACTTCTCTACGAGAAGCTCCCTCCATAGCCAAGAAAAGAGCCAATAAAGTTCGAGTTTTTGTAGTACTTGCCCCTCATTACTCGGCCTAGCAGGGAAGTATTATTAGTCATTAATCGCCAGGCTTGCCTCCCTAATAGAGCTTCGTTAAAAGTTGTTAAATCACGAAATCCCATCCCTCCCAGGCATTTAAGAGTACACATTGAATCCCAGCTTCTCCAATGTATACGTTTCCGATCAATACTTTGCCCCCACCAAAAATTTGCCATTGCCGCATGAATCTTCCTGATTACTTCCGTAGGAAATTTGTACACCCCCATGAGATAAGTTGAGATTTCTTGGATTACCGACTTTAAGAGAACCTCTTTCCCGGCTTGAGACAGTAACTTTTCCTTCCAGCCTTGCAATTTCTTCCATACCCTATCCAACAAAGCTTCGAAGACTCCCCTTTTTGATCTCCCCACAATGTTTGGAATCCCGAGATACTAACCATGCCTTTCAACCTGCTTCATCTTTAAAATAGCCATAATCTCTTCTTTTTTCTCAGTCTTGACCCCCTTACTAAAAGACACTTCCGATTTTTCAAAATTTATTTTTTGTCCTGATGCTGCTTTGTACTGGTTGAGAATATCAACAATGTTTGAGCATTCCCGACGGTTGGCCCTAGTAAAGAGGAGGTTGTCATCTGCAAAAATAAGGTGAGAGATTTCTGGACCTCTTCGGCTTGGCTTAACACCATGGATCTCCCCCGTAGCTACTCTACTCTGAATCATATGAGAAAAGGCATCAGCTACAATAATGAATAAATAAGGAGATAGAGGATCACCTTGCCGTAAACCTCTATAGGGAGTGACTGCACCACACACTTCACCATTAATTACGAAAGAGTATTTAACTGATGAAACTAATCTCATCACCAAGTTAATCCATCTCCCGTCAAACCCCATCTTCAAGAGCAATTGGCTCAAGAAACCCCATTTACCCTATCATAGGCCTTACTCATGTCCAGCTTCATGGCAACGTGCCCCTTGTGACCCTTACTTCTCTGTTTCATGGTGTGGAAACATTCCAGCGCAATCAAAGCATTATCAGTGATAAGCCGACCCGGAACGAAAGCACTTTGAATCACACGCAACACTTCTTTCAATCTGATCACGAGACACTTTGAAATGAGCTTGTATATCATGTTGCAGAGGCTTATAGGTCGGAACTCAACAGCATGTTGCGGTTCCTTAACCTTTGGAATAAGTGCTATGTTTGTTTTATTGATGTTCTCCGGAAGAGGGTTCCCATTCAAAATCCCCGTCACGAAATTTGCTACATCATTGCCTACAATATGCCAAAAGCGTTGATAGAATATAGCATGTAATCCGTCCGGACCCGGGGCCTTGCTAGGATGCATTTGTTTAAGAGCTATATGAACTTCCTCCTTTGAGTACGGCCTCATCAACATTGTATTCATGGATTGGGAAACTGCTACCGGAACATGGCTCATAACCTGTTCGACATTAGCAAAGGTGGGGTTAGAAGTAGTGAATATGCCTTCAAAATAATCGCCAATTATGGTGGATATGTCCTCCTCTTCTGTTTTCCACGTCCCTTCTTTATCCCAAAGGCCCTTAATTGTGTTCTTTCTTTGTCTTTGAGAAGCTTTGTGGTGAAAGTATTTTGTATTCCTATCACCCTCTTGAATCTCCGACACCCTAGATCTTATATGCCAATAAGCCTCATGCTTCTCTTGTAATTCTTCCAGTTTCTTTTCAAGCACAGCACACCCACTACAGCTTGCATCACTGACTGGTTTCTCTTGGGCTTTTTGCAAAGCCTCTTCAGTCTCATTAATCAGTTTCCCCAGGTTCTCGGAATTCTCCTCTCTCCATCTCAATAGTCTTCGTCCTACCACAACCACCTTCCCCACAACATCAAGACTGGCTGCCCCCTCCCACGCACCTTTAATAACCTCCTCACACCCCTCCTCACTCAACCAATAGGTTTCAAACTTGAAACTTTGCCTCTTCTTTTTCTTCTTTTTTGTGAGAATGTCATTATAGTGGAGCAATATAAGAGCATGGTTAGAATTTACTCTCAACAAATGATCCACTGTCGTATCCCTAAACATTGAACACCATGATGTTGAGGCTAAGTACCTATCAAGCCTTTCTCGTACTCTTGTACTAGGCGATCTTCCACGCTCCCAAGTATACCAGGCACCCCTATACCCCAAGTCATGCTGCCCATAGTCAAAAAGAGCTTCTCTAAAGTTCACCATCTCCCTCCTTTCACCCTGGGCTCCATCCTCTCTTTCCTCATATGACAGCAACTCATTAAAATCCCCCCTAGTAAGATTGGCACCTCTTCTTCACATAAATGTTTTATACTTTTATGAGCTTCCAAGTGTTCGGCTTTTCCTCTGTTCTTGCCCATCCATAGATGTAAGCGAACCTCCATTTCACACTTCCATTACTCCAAATATCCCCACAAATATGGTGCTGTGAGAAAGACACAAGTCGAAAGTCAACCTTATCACTCCAATACATGCACAAACCACCTGAACGCCCACTATTGGAAACACCAAATGCTCCACAAAAACCCAGATGACCCTTAAGCTCTTCTACTACCCTACTTTCTACCATAGTTTCGCAAATAAGAAGAATATTTGGGCTATACTTTTGACTCCATTTACAAAGTCTCTGAACTCTTCGGGGATTGCCCATACCCCGACAGTTCCAGGCTAACACACTCATTGGGTGAGGCGGGGTTGGTCATCGCCAACCTCCGCCCTTGGCCCCACACCATCAGAAAAAGTTGTATAGATTATTTTCTTCCCAATATGACCCTCTTCAACCAACTCTCCTCCCTCCTCCCTAACTCGCTTTCCCCTTTCCACTTGGATACTCTCCTTTTTGCTCCCTCCTCCCCCCTCTCTGATTTTTCTTTTCCAGCACCTAATCCCTCCTTTCTCCCCCCCCCCCCCCCCACCAGGCAGTACGTTTGATATTTTGTTTCCACATGAACTATGGTCGTTCTCTGAAGCATCAAAGTTAGACACATCCCTTTCCCTCCCTTCCTTCCCTACTGCTTGCTCCTTCCTCAAAACCTCTTTTCCTCCATCCCCTCTATTATCTGGATTCCAGCTTGGCATTGAAATCTCACCCCCTGCAACATCATAACTTCCCTGCCTTTGATTTTCGTTTTGTCTCATCTCTATATCCTGTTTTCCACTATCATTATTGTTCCTCTGGGAGTTTTTTGTGATAAACAATTTCCTTACTGCATTACTCAGATCACCCTCCTCATTATAGCTCTCATTTTTTGTGGCTTTCCATGGTGTAGTAACTCGCAATTTCTCATTGAAATTTCTACGTATTACATTCTCCTCACAATCCTTTTCCCCATAGCCTAATAAGCAACAAATATAGCAAAAAACAGGCAGCTTCTCATACTTCTAAGGCACCTCCATTGAACCCCTCCCTGTTTTTAACTCCACTGATTTTTTGAGGGGTTTGTTAACATCAATGTACACTCGAATTCTTAGAGATTTATTAATTCCAATCATGTCTGATTTATCCATGTCAATGTAACGTCCAATTTTTTCGCCAATTCTCCTAGCATTATCCTCGTTGCTCCTACCCTTGAAAGGTAAGTCATAGACACGGATCCAAAAGGGCACATAATGGAGAGGAATTTCAAAAAGTTTGGAGTTACCTTTGACATCGTCGAGAACCATGACATGGTGATCGAAGTGCCACGGTTGTGCGTCCATGACAGATTTTTTGTCTTTCCAGTGATGGAATTGGAAGAAGAAAGTTTTGTTCCCAATCACATTGACTTCACATCCATGCTTAGGGTTCCAGATCTTTTTCAAAGTGTTTATGAGAGTGTTATTGTTGATGTTTCGGGACGTATGAATCTCCCCACTACAGCCAATTCAATCTGCGCATCCTCCTCCTCGCCCCCATCATCCACCCAATCAACAACTTCAGCCTCTTTATTAAGGTCTAAACGATTATTTTCCTCGTTTTCTCGATTTTCTATAAGCGTTGCCATCGAAGAAATAAAACCAACGATCTGCAAAAGTAAAGAAAAAAGAAAAACACCTTCGATATTAAAGCAAAACGCTAGCACTTGCTAGAAAGAGACCCTCCCAAGAGCAACCCAGAAAAAAAAAACCTAGAGGAACCCTAGAGGGAAAAACTTATTGTTACTTAATTCAAGTTATAGAAGTACTTGTCAAAAACTATTGCCTCCGTTACTTTTTAGATGCAATAAAGAGGTTTTTTTTTTGTGAAATTTAAAAAATTTATTTGTTAAAACTAAAATCAGCAAATGTAGTAATAAAAATCCTTAACTACAATTTTTTTTTTTTATCTTTTTAATAATTAAATTATTATAAGAATAATTTTGAAAAAAACCAAACCCCGACCTCCCCCACCCCACCTAGTTGGTGCCCCACCTTCGACCTCCCTTGCCCCCACACCTTCTCTCTTTTCCCCACCACCTCCCATTTACGTACCCCATCCAACGCTCCCCCGCCGACCCTCCCCAAACCACCCCAAAAATTGGCCCTCTCCTCAACCACCCCGGCCCCTCCCCTGTTTGCTGGGACGAAAATCCTAAACCCCATTCAAAAACACCAGAATTCAAACCACAAACTTGTAATGTCCAAGAGCACAAACATCAATACCTTGTTACCATTGAGATAAGGTACTTTTCTTCTCTCAAATGTACAAACAAATTGTATTCATTTTTTTCAATAAAAAAAAACTTTTTCCCCGAAAACTCATTTGGTTCAATAAACCCACTGTAAATCCTCTAGTGCTACTAACATCCGTAAAATTATTACATTGCCGAGGAACTCTATTATTTGAAATTTTATTGTTAATTTGTTTTACATATTTTTAGATACTTCTACATTTGAGTTTCAAGTACCAATTTTTAAAAATTGAACATGGCTCGGGAAATTTCTAGGTGGAAGAACCAAGGAAAACTAAAACTTCTAAAAACAGGTTTACTTAAAATTAGGTTATTGTATTTATCTCATAATTAGGCGATTGTATAAAGACCTGCTCCATTTATTTATTAGACAGATCTAACCCTGGCGGTCTAAGGCCTCTCCAATCCTATCTCTCTCAGAGTCTCAGTTATTTCATTGAAGCGCACTCAACGTTCTCCATTAAAGCGCAGTTCACGCTCTCTGTTGAATCTAATTCTTGTATCCCCCATTGAAGCAGCTTCCGAGGTAAGTTGTTTGTTTTTGTTATCATCATATCAATCTCACAATCTGGGTTTACATTTGATCTAATCTAATATAATTATCAGTGCATTAAGTTTAGGGTTCGAAAATCTGAACTATTGGTTCCAAATTCTTAGATTATGAAACACCACAACCAAAAGAAAAGAAAATTATGAGCCTAATTTGATTATTGAATTAAATATCCCAAAAATTATGTATTTTTCATGAGAAATATAATACTATGTTACATCTGCTCGTGTGTGTTTTCTTATGTATTTCTCCCTGTGCTGTTGTAGTTGCTGCAGTATCATGTTTTGAATTTGCTGTTTTAAATTAGAAATTCGTCTTCTGTAATTGATACTTAAGCCAAGTAAATCTCAAATCTAAAATTATCTAGGACTACTTGATCTTGGTTCTTGAATTTAATTGTGATGATATCAAATTAATTTCTTTCGTTTCATATCTGGAAGCACATTTGAAGTAGAATGAAATTTTTAAAAATGATAGAGAGTAGAGGAAAATGAAGGAACCATTAGCCCGTAATTGACCCTAACAAATAAATACACTCATGTTGAGGATGAGTTATTATTAGTTATTCTAGTATCAAAAGTTCATATCTTTATTAAAACCATGCTAAAAACATCAATTTGGAGTTTGGTAATCTACTACCCAAGTCTGTTGTATGTATGTGCAATCACTTATCAAGGGTTTTTTAATATTTGTAAATGTGGTTAGGTCCATGAATGAGAACTAAATTTGCAACCTTGTTTTCCTTGTTTGGTTCTATATTGAAAAAGTTAGAGAGGAATAACATGGGAGTAAAGGGGAAAGGATGGATAGGGGATAATAGAGGAGGTGACGGATTATTTGGAATTTGTGGCATACGCCATACCTTTAATTCTAAATATTTTACACCTTTATGGAGAGTTATCCAATAGGAATATTATTTACCATACTTTCTAAATCAAACAAAGTTATACTTCCTCTGTTTTTTACTTGACGCATAGCTTTTGGCACAATATTTAAGGGGAGGAGAAAGAAATATAGTAATGGTTCACCTTATTACCCCTCGCAAGTTATCCCCACATGCACGTTATAAGGGTGTATTAGAGAATTTGTCTAGTAAAAGCTTACTAAATATAGTATGGGTCAAGTAATGTGGTATTTTCATTTTAGGAATGTTAGTCAAGTAAGGAGGAAATATAGTATAGCTACTTTCTTAAAGAATGTTTTCCTCCAAACCATACGCTTACTAGGAGTTAGGGAGATTCCTCTCTTGCTGGACTCACCAGTGCCTATAGTGAGCAGATTGATAGATACAATGGTAGGAGCTCTTGCCATTAGTGTCTATCAACCTATCAGTCTGTTCACCAGTGAGTTTGATAGAGTGTCTATCAATCTGTTCAGAACATGACAACTGATGAACATGACGACAATAGGCACTCTAGCTATTCATTTAGTGGCTTGGCCAGAAGAAATGGATGTTAGCTCATCTGAAGTTTCTCAAGAATTACTTGGTTGTTCAACTTTGCCTTTTGGATGAGCGTAGCTTGGTAAAGTTGTCATGAACCTGACTATTTAATTTGTGTTTTTGACTTAGAGACCAAACAATCGAAATTACTTGACTTGTGTTTGACCCTATTGATATTGAACTATCTTGACAATAGATGTGTCTAATAATAATTGTTTTATCCTATGCCCTCCGTCCCATAATACTTGGGATGTTGGGGTAGATATGTAGTTTAAGAAAACTACAAGTGGGTCTATTTAAATTTTAAAACATTTGTTTATTGTATAAAAGATTCTCTTTTGTATTTTTATATTACAAAAAAACAAGTGGGGTGAGAGTGGGGTAGGTGAGGAGAGAGAGAAAATGTGGGAATTTTTTTTTTATTAGTGGTCTAATTCCATATTTAGTAACGTGTCAAGTGTTGTGGGACAGACGAAAATGGAAACCGTGTCAAGTATAATGAGACGGAGAGAGTAATTGATAGTAGACCCAAATTCGACCCAAACCAAACATGAGACCAACCCAAAGGATTAATTCCTAGTGAATATGATCTTGCATTGAGTGATAAAGATCTTGTGATGAGTAAAAGATGGCCATTTTGTTTGTTTTCTAGTGTCAAACATTTTGTTTGTTTTCTAGTGTCAAAGATCTATCTAGGAGTCGTGCTCGTGCATATACTTTTATTTGATATAATTTGTTTCCCTTTTGTTGCAGATACATTTTTATAATCCATAATTCGATAAAGGATTTATGGATACAGAAAATATTCCAGCCCCTTGTGTACACACAAACTTGAAGGAGGCTGAATTAGGTTGTTTTGATACACAACATATAGCATACGCTAACTTATTGTTAAAAAGTGCTGTGAATCTGGAACGTATGGTTATTACTATGGCGTTGAAGTGTTATCAGGGATGCGGTGTCGTATGGAACGATCCTTTTAAATTGTTCACTAAGAAGGAAAGTGAATTTATTGGTCGTGCGTTGCAAGGAGTTGCTGCAGCTTCTAATGTGGATTTGATTATCCCTTGCAAACCTTGATTATCTAGGCTCGTCTGTACTAGTAAGAATAAGATAACTTGTTATTGACCGTTCATTATTTTTGTCAGTGGCAAATCCAGGGGTACACAGAGGAACATGATGTTAACGTAGTTATAATGTCTTATTTTTTTCTGTTTTTGCTCTAAAGATATGTAAGTTTTTGATGTTTTCGAAAAATAGGTAATGAAGTACTAGCAACACTAGCATTTGTGGGAGTGGAAGTGAACTTGGTGTTGTTCTCAAAATCGGTGTTGAGACAGACAAACGCCGAGGCAGCAATCACCTTCAGTATGTGGATGGGTGTGGTGTATCTGTTTTCATTGATAGGGGCTTTTCTCAGTGATTCATATTTGGGAAGATATTTCACTTGCTTAATCTTCCAAGCAGTTCTTACCATTGTGAGTATGCTGTCCTCACCCACTCTTGGTCTTCATCTTTTAGCCTTTCTCACCATTGCATGATCATAATAAATCCATAATAACGTTAAACATATAATCTATTACAACATGTAGATATATACATGTATAAACACGCAAACAATCTCAAGTTATTTTTATGCGTGTTTTGTTTTAACTTAAGTGATGTGTCCTTGTGTACCACAATGCGTAGTACTCAATTAATTTATTTGTAACATTAATTTGTTTTAAGTTAATTAGAAAGTTGTGAGTCGTAGACTCGTAAAGTGAACATGAACCAATTTAAATGAGTGGCACACATGCATTGTGGTACACAAAAAGTGGAATAAAATATTTAATACGTTATTTCTATGCCATGATTATTACATGTTCTTATTAAATTAAAGGGCAACTCCTAGAGAGTTGATTCAATCACCAGATTTTGTGTTTCCTTTCATCAAAAAAGAAAAAAAAAGGGCGCGATCTTGCCAATAAATAATTACTTCTTACGAGTATTTGATTACAAGCATTCAAATAAGATCAAATCATATTGTCATTAGAGTTAGTCTCGCGACTAAGTAGCTGTCATTAGTATGAACAAATGAAGTTAAACAAGTGCTTCTTAATCTGTGCAGGGGTTAATTGCAAGCTCCTTGACAACCAAACATCTCCTACTAAAACCTGGTGGTTGTGGAACACTAGAGCAACAATGTGATCCTCACTCGAAATTCGAGACAGCTATATTCTTCATATCTATCTACTTAGTTGCCTTAGGTAACGGGGCAGCTGAACCTGCACTAGCTACATTTGGGGCTGATCGTTTGATGAGGAAGATCCTGAAGAAAGCCGAGCAAAGACCTCGTTCTTCAGCTACTTCTACGTAGCCTTAAACATGGGTTCCTTAATAGGAGAGACAATTTTGGTATACATTGAGACAATGGGAGATTGGGTGCTTGGATTTTGGATATCTATTTGTTGTGGAATTGCTGCTTTGGTTTGGCTGTTTAGTGGAACTATGAGATACAGGCATTTTAAGCCTAGTGGTAAACTGATAACCCGTCAAAAAAAAGCCAATAATATATATTATTGGTTTTTTTTTTTTTTTTTTTTTTTTTTTTGACGGGTTTATTTTCCTCAATATATATTGTTATTAATTATTATTGGAAATAAAAACTCATAGTTTATATGGCAAATAAATAATACTCCATAAATTAAGAGTATATTTTAATGGACTTAGTTTCCGTACCTCTAATTTCTAATTCCTTTATCCGTCACTGATTTTTGTTTACTAAAATTTATATATTTTTTATTTTTATACTTATATTGCTAAACCAGAATCTCTACCTTTTAAAAAGTTTATGAATAGTGTTTGGCTGATGATATTCTCTAAAATGTTTATTTATTTATTTGCTCTAATTAATGTTTATTGTTTTTCTTTTTTATACTGTTAAAAATAGTCTGTTTACAATTATATCTCTAAAAATATTTGTTTATATAATTTCTTTCATTAATTCTACAAACAACTAGAGTTATGCCATAAGGCTAAATCGAAAAAACTTCTAGGACTTGACTAGCTATAGCGAGTTCGTTAGCCACCTTAGTGATTACAAAATGTGATATTTAACCGAAGGGATTTTTCATTTGGTACCATTGTACTTTGAGATTTTCCATTTGATACCATTATACTTCGGGCTTTACCATTTGGTATCCAATTTCTTTTTAGATTTCAATCCTTCTGTATATTGAGATTAACTCATGTGCTAGGTTGTAATCTCTATAAATATTGTTTAATGAGAATAACCTAATCAAGGAGAATTATACACATTTAAAGTAATCTTCGATTTGAGTGTCATAAAAATTGCTTGGTTAAGGTTTTAAGAGGATGTTTAAGCCTTAAGGTTCAAATTTGAGGTCGAAGTTAAAAAAAAAAATAAAAAATAAAAAAACTTAAAAATCCCCCCTTTTGAATATTTTGTTTTATTTTGCGCAAAAAAAAGTGTCAGGTTAAAGTTTTGAGGGTTATTGTGACCTTAAAGTATCAAACTTTTAAATTGATTTTTTTTTTAAAAGGACCATAGTACAAATGCCATCAATATTTTATCAAACGGGATATTATGATAGATAATAAATCAAATTACAATAATAATATGTGGATCAATCAATCAAAGCCTTAATCCCATAAACTGGGTCGGCTAACATGAACCAAATTTGATTATTCCGTGTAGTCATCGACATAAATCTTCCTCCTCCATCCCTTACGATCCAATGCTTCATCCTCATGCAAATCCATACACTTCATATCCTTTTTAACTACTTCCAACCAAGTCATTTTTGGTCTCCCTCTCCCTCGTTTAACCCCTCCATGGTCCTACTCCTCCACTCTTCCTACGGAGCACCTTCGGGTCTCTGTCTTACATGCCCAAACCAACGCCGACGATTTTCCCTTATTTTATATGCAATGTCTGCCACACCTACTTTCTTGCGAATAACCTCATTTCTGACGCGCCTTGCCGCCAAATTGGTAGTACTGTGGTTGCCTCGGTCGTCAGCGGTCGAATTTGGTGGTTTAGATTTCAGTTTTGGGTGAGCTTCTTTAGGAAGCCTTGCATTAGCACTACTAGAAAACAGTCAATCAACGACGGAAAAAATCCGTCGGAAAACCTTAAATTCCATCGGAAACGCCCATTTCCAACGGAATTCCGTCGGAAAGCACTGTCGGATTATACTTTGTAGGAATTTCACGTTATTCCGTCGGAAAGGTATATTCCGACGGAATTTCCGACGGATTATATTCTGTCGGCGCTTTTGTTGACTTTAAGTGAAAATCCGTCGCAAGGTTCCAATGGAAATTTCCATCGGAGTGGGATGTGTTCCGACGGAAATTTCAGTCGGTGGGTGGATGTTCCAACGGAATTTTCCGTCGAAAAAGGTATATTCCGACAGAATTTTCCGTCGGAAAAGTCAATAAAAAAAAAAAGCCCCACCAGCCCAGAAAAACCACCACCCACACCCACCTGCCCAGAACAACCCCCACCCACACCCACCCTTCCTGCCCAGAACAACCCTTACCCACACCCACCCCACCTGCCTAGAACAACCCCCACCCACACCCACCCAGAACCACCCCCACCCACACCTAGGGGTGAAAGTTCGGTTTTCGGTTTGGTTTATAGGCCAAACCGAAACCGAACCACCCTAATTCGGTTTTTGGTTTTTGGAAACCAAACCGCACCACTTTACTTTTGAAGCCAAACCAAACCAAACCATATAAATTTCGGTTTCAAAAGAAAAAACCGAACCAAACCGAATTTTTTTGGGCCTTGTTTATTTGGGCTTTAATCTGCAATTTTTGTGGGCTTAAATCATATAAATATTATATTCATCAACATATGTAGTAGCATAAATGCTTAATGAGATTTAAACAACATTAACAAGTTCTAAAACTTCAAACTTATAATTCAAAGTTTTAAAAGTTCAACACTTCTTCCAAAAAAAAATAAAATTGTTCAACATTACAACTTTAACAATTGTTTAACAGCAGTAGCAACAAGCAGCATAGACCAAGTTCTAAAAGGCAGTAAAAAAATTGTTTAACAGCAGTAGCAACAAGCAGCAGGGCAACAGCAGCATCATAACAGCAGGTCAGCAGCAAAAGCAGGTCAGCACTCAGCAGCATAGACTAAGGCAGTAGCAGTGATAGAGCAAGGCAGTAGCAAGTCTGGCAAGTGGCAACAACAAGTCAGCAATGAGCAAAGAGCCACATCAGTCTATTATTTCAAGCACTTCATCAATATCAGCATCACCAACTGCCATATTCTTCAAGTCTATCATAATTCATAACAAAAATAACCAAGTTAAAATATATACACATAATGAAAATAAGTAACTTATGATTAGATGTTCTTATATATTACCCTCTTCAAGAAGCTCAACTTCCTCTAAACATTCTTCAATACTTGGAAATGGTGAAGCACGTAACCAATTTTGAGCACAAACAAGACCTTCTACAACTCGAGGAGTTAATGAGCTCCTAAACTGATCTAGAACCCTGCCCCCAGTGCTGAATGCACTCTCAGAAGCTACTGTCGAAACAGGGACAGCAAGAACATCACGGGCAATTCTCCCCACAGTAGGAAACCTTGAACAATTGAACTTCCACCAGCTCAAAATGTCAAATTCATCAATATCCTCCGCTGTATCCTCCTCCAACTATTTGTCTAACTCTATTTTTGCATCTCCATCTCTCTCACACTTGTGTTTCTTATACTTACTCTTTAAGACTTCAATCTTTTTATGTTTGGGACTCAATGGAGTTTTGCCATCCTTACTTGAAGACACTTCCTCCCTATTCACATCATTACCAGAAGAAACACGATACTCCTCATACAAAGCATTCAAAGCTACCTTCACATTATCAACTAACTTTGATGCAACAATAGGGTCATAAATTTCAGTTATCATCCACTCAACATAATCAAGCTTATAACGAGGATCAAGGACAACGGCAATAAAAATCAGGAGGTTTATTTTTTCTGGATCACCCCAATACTTTTCATATTTTTCTTTCATTCTACAAGACATAAGACACATATCCACATCATCACTTGAAACCAAATCTTTCATAAGTACAGCAACACTCACCAATTCATGAAAAAACAAATTCAAACTGACATATAAAGAGCCAGAGACATGCAAGGTCAGATCATAAAAGGCTTGTAGAAATTCAGAAAGTCTTCTTACATTATTCCAATCATCAGAATCTGGGCTACCCTTACCATCCCTCTCATTCAAATCAACTACATAGTGAGGGTCTTCCCCAAAATACCTCTCAAAAGCATCTTGAAGCTCAATAGCAGCATTCAACATCAAATAGGTGGAGTTCCACCTAGTAGGCACATCAAGGCACAATCCCTTTTTTGTGTTGATTTTTTCATCTAAGACACATTTTTTAAACCTTTGCAACCTAGCAGGAGATTGTTTGATAAACCTAATAGCATGCCTAACACGTTGAACCGACTCATTAACAGTTTTCAACCCATCAGAAACAACCAAATTGACAATGTGTGCAACACAACGCATGTGAAGGAAACGACCCTTAAGAACCCCAGTTTTCCACCCATTTATTTTCCTTCTCATATACCCAATTGCAGTATCATTTGAGCTAGCATTATCAACTGTTATGCACATGACATTTTCAAGCCCCCAATCAAGCAAACACTTTTCAATTTCTTTGCCAATATCATCACCCTTATGACTAGAAATAGGACAAAAATTCAGAATTCTTTTGTGTAATTTCCAATTATTATCAATAAAGTGGACAGTCAAGCACATGTAATTGATTTGTTGTATAGAGGTCCATGTATCAGTGGTTAAAGAAACTCTTGAATTACACCTTTTTAACACATTTTTCAGCTTTCGTTTTTCAGTTAAATATGTTTCAAAACAATCTTTGGCTACTGTAATTCGAGAAGGAACATTAAATCTAGGCTCTATTACACCACAAAAATGTCTAAAACCTATACCTTCAACAAACTTAAATGGAAGTTCCTCAACAATCACCATAAATGACAAAGCTTTTCTAATACTACCAGCATCAAATTTGTGGTATGTCAACCCACTAGTACCACCACTTGGTTCTTTATCACTTTTAAATGAAATCAAACTTTGTTTTGAATCTTTAGGGGTGTTAAAGGGATACTTACGACATCGCGAAATATGAGCCCATAACACACTAGTGCCGTTTTTCTTTGCCCCACACTTGTAGCTCATCCCACAATACTTGCAAATTGCCTGCATTCCAGAAGGTAAGTCTTCTTTATCAAAGTGCTCCCAAACCTCAGAGCGTTCTTTCATCCTCTTCCTTTTTGCTCCCTGTTCTTTTTTCTGATTTTGAGATACTTGGTCAGTCTCATGTTCGGATTGAGGCTGGTCAGGAACACCACCCACGTTGGTTGTCATTCAATAATTCGTGGTTGAATAACAATCTGTAAGAATACATGCAAACTCATAAATTAAGAATATTGGATCTTTTAAAGGGAATAATAGGTTGGGGCCATTGTGCATTAGTCATGCAAACTGTTTTCTTGTTTATGAGGCTTGGTGCAAAACTTATTATGATATTATATTAACAATTGTTGTTAGATGAAATTAAGTTAATATTGGGTTTTGTTAGTTTTGTTACATATTTTTGAATTGTAGTTAATTTATTTTAGTAAGAATTACAATGAATTTA